TGCCCATTTTCTGCTGCTAAGTGGCAAGGAAGCGGCTCCATGCTGGCCAGCTGGGCTTGCCGCTGCTGGAGCTGCTGCTGGCGCTCCTGCCGCTGCTGCGCCGCCCGGCCCGGCAGAGAGGCCAAGAAGGCATCCACGTCCGCTCCGAGCCGAGCCTCCCAGTGATCACGTTTGCGTCCTTGCCGGTCGCCCCAGCCTAAGAAGCCGCTGGGTGCTCGCTCATCCTCGTTGTCATCCCTCTCACCCCGCCGCCTGGCCTGCCCTGGCACATTGAAGGGAGCTTGTTGTCCTGGTCTACTTGCACGGGATCTTTTTGGCTGTGGCCCGTCTAGAGGCCTGGGGGCCGTGGTCTTGCTAACCACCTTCACCCTAAAGTGGTGGCTCATGTCCTAGAAAGCATATTACGGTTGCTGGGATGCCAACAGAACAAACGGGAGGGAGAATGATGCATGATTGAGGATGATGTCCCCAATGACCCTCCAGGTGGGGGGCCATCATGCCCATCATGGGGCACATCCTTACCGGGAGGCCTACCTGCTCAGCGGCTGCTGGAGAAGGCCTAGGCCGGCCTGCGTTCGGGCAGCGTCCTCGTTGAGCTGTGCAGCAGGCATGCAACGCCCCCATTGAGCACGCACCGCGGCCTTGGGCTGCTGCAATATGATATGGACGGCGGGGGCTTTCTCGGCGCTCGTGTTTATGGTGGCCCTTGCGGTGCCAGGCGCGGTGCCTGGAGTGCAGGGCCAGACGTCAACACAAACCGACCGTAAGAGGCGGGAGCGAACCACGCCCGGCGTTGCCATGCTGATGTCTGTGCTCCCAAGGGCCAATCCGGCTCCGCCTTTGCTCTCAGAGGAGGGAGAGAATGCAGCTGTCCAAGCAGCCGTGGGGCATTCATGTGCTTGGCAGCCGCACCTCGCCGAACCCCAGTGCTTGTGGCGGGACGGCCGCCGCCCCCGCTCGGTTCACCGAGACCACCATCGCTGGCCCTGTTTTCCTGCAGAGATGCGCCTGCTTGCGCAGCGCTATGCCATCACCAACTGGGATGCGTATGCAGCTGCAAACAACATCAGCGGCTGGGTGTCTGACAACAGCGTCCCTGTTTGCCTCTGGACGGGTGTTACGTGCACCCCGGACGGCAGGATACAGTCGTTGTGAGTGGGCTGCCGTGGAGGTCTACCCGAGGGCCTGCATTAAAGGTAAAGGTAAAGGTGGGGAAGAGCCTCCACAAGCTTCACTTCCCGGTTTTAACGTCTAGCTTTAGACCATTATTTGATCTGCCCGACGCGCCAAGTGCAGTACCCCCCACTAGTAGTGAATGGGTCCCGGGGAGGCCTGTGCCGAAGCCTTGGCGATTCTATTAGGCGTTCCCGAAGGAATTGGCTTGGATTGGCGCTGAGCCGGTCAGCTATGCCGCGTTTGTCCTCACAAAGTTTCGACATGGGAGGAATCGAACCTGTGCCCTCTCGGAGGGTTTAGACACTAGCTCCAGCGCCTTCAAAGAAGGCCTTTCTTAGCCGCGGCCTAAAGGTAAAGGTGGGGAAGAGCCTCCACAAGCTTCACTTCCCGGTTTTAACGTCTAGCTTTAGACCATTATTTGATCTGCCCGACGCGCCAAGTGCAGTACCCCCCACTAGTAGTGAATGGGTCCCGGGGAGGCCTGTGCCGAAGCCTTGGCGATTCTATTAGGCGTTCCCGAAGGAATTGGCTTGGATTGGCGCTGAGCCGGTCAGCTATGCCGCGTTTGTCCTCACAAAGTTTCGACATGGGAGGAATCGAACCTGTGCCCTCTCGGAGGGTTTAGACACTAGCTCCAGCGCCTTCAAAGAAGGCCTTTCTTAGCCGCGGCCTTAAGTCTGCATTGCAGCCGCATAAGATGCAGCGCGCAAAACATGGCACATCAAGTGCGGTGCATGTTAGTGGAACCCCTGTGTGACCCAGCTGCTGCTTTGCCTCTCCGCCATGCTGCCATATAGAGCGCTGCAGTGCCCGAGCTGCCCGCTCAAGGCGCTGGGTACGGTGGCTTCCAACCTGTCACAGATTATGTGAGTGGTAGCGGATTGACAGCAAGCTGGCAGTTGCCCCGGACACTGTGCCTCAGCTTGGGCGGGCATTCGTGCAGCGTTGTGCGAATTGACGGCAGACGAGCAAGCGATGTGCACATGGATCCCCGTTGATGCACCACTCCCCTGTTCCTCCTCCACCTCGCCTGTTGTTTGTGCCTGCAGGCCGATGAAGACTCTCAACTTGCAGCAGCAGCAGCTGGGTGGCAACCTGCCGCCAGAGTTTGGCCTGAATGGTTCCTTCCCAAACCTCATCAACCTGCTGCTTCAGCAGAACCAATTCACAGGTGCAGTAAGGGCGGGGGTGGTTGCCTGCTGGGCGGCATGTGCAGCATGCACACCAAGTCAAGCATGCACACCCACTGAGCAAGGGTTTCCTCCCATGCCATGCTGCTGCAGGCACGGTCCCGGCATCTTGGGGTAGCAAGGACTCGTTTCCCAACCTATCGCTGCTCACTCTCTCTGGCAACAACCTGACTGGTCCCCTGCCGGAGCCCCAGCTGTGGCCGCAGCTACATGTATTGTGAGTGGAGGCGAGAGGAGTGGATGGCTGTGTGGGTCAGGGCTGCAAAGGCCACGCAGTTACTCGTGCAGGGGGCGATGCCACTGAGCTGGCACAGCCCGACCAGAGCAGAGGGGGCAGCTTGTTGTTCCCAGAAGCTGGCAAGACCCGCGCCCAGCGGCGTGGCTGGCAGACGACAGCGGCTGAACTTGTATCGCAATGTGCCCCCTCTGCTGCAGCCGCTGCCAGCATAACCAGTTCAGTGGCACAATACCCGGATCATGGGCCCAATCCATGCCGAATGCACAGGTACTGGCTTAGGTAGAGCGAGCCTCTGCCAATGTATTGCTGCCAATGCCCGGTGCTGGGTGTGTGCACACAACTACAGCTACACTGCTGCTGCTGCACCTGCTGCCGCAGATCCTAGCACTGCAGCAGAACAGGCTGCGTGGGCAGCTTCCGCTGGAGTGGGCCCCCGCCACAGCCTTTACCTCGCTGGAGGAGCTGTACCTGCAGAACAACCTGGTGCGCGTTGCATGTACTGCTGGCACTGCATCTTTCCTGTGGCATCGTGGAACGCAAGCTCAAAGCGTGTGGGCTCTCGGCAAGTGCCGTGGCTTGCTCCAGCCCGGCATTGCTGCACGCTCTGTCTCTGACATCCACGCTGCAAGCCCCGTGTGCGTTGCAGCTGGAAGGGCGGCTGCCAAGGGGGGACGCCACTTTCAAGCTCCAGTTCCCCAAGATGCGAATAGTCGACATGTCTTGTGCGTGCCTGGCTGCTGACATCGCTGCTGGGTTTGTCTACGCCCGTGTTGCGACTGGCAGGCTGCTGCTGGGGCTGCCCATTTGTCGGGCACCAGTTCCGAATGTTGCGTGGCATATTGACCCTACTCTTGTGCCCCTCTGCGTGTACAGTCAACAACTTCACAGGCGACATGCCGGCTTCGTGGGGAGAGAACAACACGTCCCCTAACTTAGAGCTGATGTGAGGCCTGGGGGAAAGGGGGTATTTTCCTGTCCTGGCCAGCTGCTGTGCTTCGCGGCAGGTGTATCGGTCAGTTCGGAGGTTCAGAGAGGAGCTGGGTCTGCTTCCTCCCGGCTTCCCGCCTGCAGGTACCTGCGCAACCTGAGCCTGGCTGGCACGCTGCCCCCCATCTGGGGCAACGGCGGCGGCATGGACAAGCTGCGCCAGCTGTGGATTGATGGCAACGACCTGTCCGGTACCATCCCGGCAGAGTGGGCCAGCTTCCCCAGCCTGGAGCAGCTGTACGTGCGGCCGGGCAACCTGAAGCTGTGCGGGCCGCTGCCGCCTGGCATCACATTCCAGGTGGGGCACCTGGCTGGCACACGCACACATCTACGGAACAGGCGCACCAGGGAGCAACACACCCTCCTGTGGAACCTCGTCTGGTGCTGCCTCCCAGCCAGCCAGCCGCACTAGCTGCATGCCAGCTCACCCCCCGCCCCCGCCCCTGCCTCTACTGCTGCAGCTGTGCAGCGCCAATGGCAACAGCGAGTGCAACGAAACCGTGGCGCTGGACGGGCCCACCTGCCCGCCGTGGGTGCCACCGCCGCCGCCGGAGCCCGAGGGCGGCAGCAACACGTCCGCCATCGTGGGCGGCGTGGTGGGCGGCGTGGCCGGCGGCATCCTGCTGGCCGCAGGCGTGGTGCTTGTGCTGCGGTGGAACAAGCGGCGCAAGCAGCGCATGTCGCCGTTCATTGCCGAGGCACAGGGGCCGGTGGCACCCTCCAAGGACGACCTTTCCAAATACTCTCGGGTGCTGGAGTCTGTGGAGGGCGGCGGCGACGCGAAGCATGAGAACAAACGTGAGTGGCAAGCGCCAGAAGTGGGATTGCTGCCGCAGCTGGCTTCCGCTCTGCTGTCGCTACGTGCTCTGTGTTGTGTGCCGCGCTAACACACCGGGTGCCGCCGCACTCATGCCTGCCGCAGTCGCCAGCTGGCCTTCCCGCGTCGCCAGCCGCATGTCAGGCATGTTCGGCAGCCCCAGCCAGCCCATCAGCCAATCCAGCGGGACGCAGCTGTCGCCCCTGCAGTCGGGCAGCGTCGGCAGCGGGGCCGCTCCCGCTGCGGCGGCTGCCGCCGGCGGCCTGGCCACCTCTGGCAAGCTTCCCTCCCGTGACGGCCTGCTGACGTGGGTGTACTGCCCGCCTGCCTGCCTGCCTTGCCTGCCCTGCCTGCCTTGCCTGCTTTCTGACGAGCACAAGCACGATACATGCACTGTGCATCGCCAGCACGCTTCCCAGCGCCACCCGTGCTGGGCAGCCTGCTTATTGCCTATGTTCCCCTTGTTGAGAGCACGGCATCCCACCTCGAGCTACACACTACCATGAATACCAGCTACTCAACCAGCCCAACAATACCCGCCTGCACTTCTGCAGGTATCACAATGACTCGGTGCTTCTTTCCAGCATGGACATGTCAGCAGCGTCTGCCGCCGGGATGCAGGGCCAGCCCTCCGCCTTTGCGTACAACTACACCGGCAACATCAGCAGCATGACCCTTGGCGGCGGCATGACCCCAATCCGCGTCAGCGAGGACGTGCGCGGCTCGGTGGATGCGGCGCTCTGGGGGGTGGGCATCCAGCAGCTGCCAGACTGGGAGATCCAGCCCGAAGGTGCGCGGCAGGGCACGGGAAGTGCTGCGTGCGGCGGTGGTGGCTGGAGCTCGGTTGCATGTGGCAGCCACCATGGGTGTGTGATGGGGAGGAGGGTAATGCACTGCTCCTGCCGCCCCACTAGTTGTCAGCCGAGCGAGGCATTAGCGCTCATCCCCAGCTTTCGTGTCGCGCTGCCGCAGAGATTCAGTACATGAAGCGGGCTGACGGAACGGACTGGGAGCTGGGGTGCGGAGGGTTTGGCAAGGTGCGCATTCCAGAGGTCCTGCAAGAAGCAGCGCAGGCCATCTCCATGCCGCTCGGGTGTCCCTGCATAGGCACCTGTGTTCCCTCATGCACCTCATCCTCCACGCGCGTTCCTGCTATGTCTGACACCTCTCCAACCCCCACCACGCCCTCCCCCCTCCCCACCCACAGGTGTTCAAAGCCATGCGCAACGGAGCGCAGCCGGTGGCAGTCAAAGTGCTGACGGTGGGTGCCGGGCTGGCGGCGCACCTGCCAGCAGGCCGGCGGCCTGGGAAGCTTGGGCCGGGGGCGCTCGCGGGCACCTGCTTGCCTCTCTTCCTGCGGACCCTCGTCCGCTTCCACTCTGTGCTCCTGCCTATGTGAGCCCCTCCAATCTCTCTCCCCATGTTGTGTGCAGTCTGGCCCCGACACGCGCTACATGGCCATGGCCGAGTTCAAGCGTGAGGTTGCCATCCTCAAGTCGTGCCGCGATCCAAATATAGTCGCCTTTTTGGTGAGGCGCCTGAAGGGCCCACGCGCCGCCCGCGGGCTGCGGGCCGCGGCAGTGGCTGGGCCAAGGGCACCAGCCGCGGCAGCACACAGGCAGGGCTGGGGCCGGAACACCACATGCACCTAAAGTCACTTGTTCGTCACCCGTGCCCCGTCTTGCGTGCGCCCGCGCGTGCGTCACTGTATGGCGTGCAGGGCGCGTGCCTGCGGGACGACTGCGCCATGCTGGTCACAGAGTATTGCGAGGGCGGCAACCTGGCGCGCAACATCCTGGCGCACAAGGTCAGCTGGTATCGACGGGGAAGAAAGGTGCGCAGGCCACGGGCCTCCTCTGCTGTTGTCGGTGGTGCATGTTCACATGGGGGACGGCTTGTGTGTGAGTTGAGTTTGTTTGTTGCGTTGGGCCTGGGCTGGGCTGCTGGGTGTGGGCAGGGAGAAATTCTGCTGGGTGCATGTATGTCGCAGCGCCTCACCGCCATGCTGCCTGCTGGCCATCTGCCCGCCCTGCTGCCCTGCCCGCAGATTGCCATCGACATTGCCAAGGGGCTGGTGTTTCTGCACTCTCGCCGTATCGTGCACCTCGACCTCAAGTCGCCCAACATCCTGCTGGCGCGGTGAGGAATACAGCGGCAGCTCAGTTCCATGTGCCATGTTCTCTGGTTGGGCAGCTGTTGTGTCTTACTGTGCTGGGACCTGACAGATGTGCATCTGCGCCTTCATCCTGCAGGGACGGTACGGCCAAGATTGCTGACGTTGGCCTGGCCAAGATCATAGCTCAGGAGTATTCTGCGGTGACGGGCGCTGTGGGCACACTAGCATGGGTGCGTCATTGGAAGTGCAGCACCTTGCCGGCCACCTTTGCCTTTACTTGCGCGAGCAGGCTGCTGGATCCACCTCGCCGGCTTGCCCTTTTGCCCCCACGGCTGACCCGCTACTGCTGCTTCCTCCCTGCGTGCAGTCCTCTCCAGAGATGCTATTGGGCGCCCGGTGCACCGAGAGGTCGGACATCTACTCTTATGGCGAGTATTGCCCAGTGGTGTATGTGTCGGCACGCGTCACTGGCCAGCCCTTCTTGCCCTCCACCTGCACCCTGGCGACGGCATCCCACCCCCATCCCCCTGCCCAATGCCTGCCGCAGGCGTGGTGCTGTGGGAGATTGCAACGGGGCAGACGCCCATCCGGGGCCAGCTGCGGGATGTGCGGTGAGGGCCGGCAGCGCGCATGGGCTCCAAGAGCAGACTGGCAGCTGCAGGCCTTTCGCAGGAGCCCACGATGGAGCAGTCCCCTGCCTGGCGCTGGCTCTGGCCTCGCTCCACCCCGCCCTCCCTGTCCTGGCCTGCCCCGCTGCCGCAGGGTGCCCGAGGAGTGCCCAGAGGAGCTGCGCAAGCTGATGCTCGACTGCCTGGAGCAGAACCCTCGGCGGCGGCCCTCCGCCACGCAGATCATCGACCGGCTGAAGAAGATCCCTGTGTCACCTGAGGAGCACCAGCCGGCGCTGCCACCCGCCACTCTGCGCCCGGAGACGGCAGCAGAGGCGCGGGCGTCAGCGGGACGGAGAAAGAGGGCGGCCGGCGCCAGCGGGGCGCCAACCCCTGCCGCCAGCGCCTCTGCCTCGCCCATCAGCGCCTTTGCGGCGGCGGCGGGCGGGCCGCCAGGCACGCCCATGGCCCGCACCGCCAGCAATGCCAGCGACGCTGGCAGGCAGGCGGGCGCCCCGCAGCCACAGCGCGGCGGCAGCCCAGCGCCGGTAGCTCCCGCACAGGGCACCTTTGCGGGAGCGCCGCTGGCGCCGGCGGGCTCGCTGCCGACACCGTTTGGCGCCGCCGCTCGCAGGCCCAGCAGTGCCACCGAGGGGCAGCTGCCGGCCTGGGGGAGCGAGGAGGACCTCGCAAGCAGCAGCGCAAACCCCACAGAAGACGCCGGGACGGAACCAGAGGGGGCCAGCAGGAGCCTGAGCCTGAGCCGGGATCCAAGCCTGGTGGCCCCACCGGGCCGCACCGCAAGTGGCGCGCTGGCACGGGCGGGGTCCGGCCTGCCGCCCAGGCCCAGCCCCTTTGCTAGCAGCAAGCTTGCGGCGCACACCCCGCCTTCACCTTCTCCCTAGGCCCTGCCCGGCCATTGCCGCCGCAGCTGGCTTCACTGATGCCCCTGGTCCAGCTGTGGTGCTGGTCAGATTCTACCTCCCCAGTTGGTATCATGCCAGCCCGGCCGCACGTTGCCATTTATTTATTTGTCCACTATACCGTGCCCTCATTGTTTTTTGCTGTGGTCAGCCAACGACATGCTGATGCCGCCGAGATCCGACCCCCCTCCTCTTTTCCCTTCTTTTCAAGACCTTTTCCTGCCACGGCCGCCACGGCTGCCGTACCAACATGACATCACTTTGCTGCTGCTTGCTACGTCTCCCCTTTCTTACAACCATTGATTTATTCTTCACCCCTCACCAGTGGGGCTTATTCCCTATTCCTTATGCGCACCCCGCTTGCCATACCCACTGCAATGCAAGGCTCAGTTGAGAAAATGGCCGATGCAGGGTTGGACAGTGGGATGGCAGGCTTTCACAGTTTGTAGGCCGCATTGGGGATGACGGTAAGGATCTCCAGCTCCCCGCCCGGCTGCTGCAGGCCCGCCCAGCTGCCGCTGCTTCCGTGGGCAGCGGCAGTGCCAGGCAGCGGCTCCTCGCCGCCGCCATCGCCCCAGCTGCTTCTGGCCAGCGGGCTGGCGCTGCCGATGCTGCTGCTGGCGGTGGAGCGGCGGGAGGCGGCGGCCTGCACGATGACGTGGCAGTCAGTGGCGGCGCTATCCTCAAGGCTGTCCAGCAGGCACACAGGGTTGCTGCGGCAGCTGTAGGCAAGGTAGAGCGAGGCTGGGGCGGCGGCGGCAGTGCGCTCGGCGGGCTGGCATGCGGAGGCTGCCGGGGCGCCGGCTGTTGCCGCCGACGCGGCGGCACGCCGGCGCTGCAGGTGCTGCTGCTCCAGAGCGGTCCTGAGGCGGGCAAGTGCTGCGACGGTCTCAGAGGAGGAGGGCGCGCTGGGGGGCGGCGGCAGCGGCGAGGGGCCCGCCGCCTCTGCTGCTACTGCAGCAGGCAGGGCTGCCGCGGCACCGGCACCAGGCGGCGAGGAGCTGGCTGGGCCTGCGTCGCTGGCGAAGCTGGGCTCCGATGCGGTTCCATACTCCGCCCCGCCATCCCTGTCTTGGGCCATGGAGGCCAAGGGTATCATTCGGTAGCCCGTGGTGTCGCCTGCACAATGTGCAGAGGAGTAGGACGACGTTTGGGGCAGGGCTGGTGGGGAGCAGAAACTCTTGTCCTCGCCGGCCTGCCGCGTGGGGCCGCTCGGCGGCGGCACCTCCCGCCTTCTCGACTTTGTCGCAGCCGGGCAATGCATAGTCTCACCTGCAGGTTTCAGGCCGAACCAGGCCTTCACGTAGTCGCCAGACAGCTGCTGAGGCAGCAGACTCCCCAGCCGCGGCATGTTGCTGCAGGGCCACCAAGTATGCTTGCGTTGAAAGGCGTTTGGTGGGTCGAGTGGGCGAAATTGAGAGCGTTCAGTTACGGGCCCACGTTACGTTGACCGACGACTGCAACCAGGTGGCGCCGGCGCCAACACAGAATGCAAATTCTGACGAAGCCTGCTCATGTTCGCCGCCCATCAGCAGAGTGTTTTGATGGAGAGGCTTGAGATCAGCGTTCTGCGGGCATGTGCTGTTTAGATGAACCGAGGGGCAAGACTCTGCGGGCGGGACAACTGTATTGCTGGGTTCTGAACGGCAGGAAGCCACACACTGCATGTAGCATAGCGAACTCGGTTTGCTCTCCTTTTCCCGTCCAAACCACTCAATTTTGCTGGTGGAAGCCCATTGAGAGAAGTTGCACAAGTTTGTTGCTCGTGAACCTCCAACTACTGACAACTCGCGGCGCAGCGCAGCCGGCGGGCCGGAGACCCGAATCCAAGAGGAAACCCCGCCGACAGGGGCACTCCGTGCCGGTGGGGGTGCCTCTCCAGCTGCTGCCCGCCTGCCGCCCCAACGTCAACGTCGGCATGGCTGAGTTCACCGGCCCCAGCATGTCCGAGCTGCCTGGCTGGCGCATTGGCATCATATTCATCATCTTCTTCACCGTTGCATTTGCCTGGGATGCGGGCACCGCGTGAGTAAAAAAATGCCCCGGCACCTGCTGCGCCTCTAGGGGCGACGATGGCTCTCCAGGGGCGACGGGTGGCTCTCCCTGACCACCTTTTTCCACGCCCAACCCATCTGCCACAAAACCATGCAGGGCCCTGGAAGGCTGGCTGAAGCGCCACCACAAGCGCGGCCTGCGCCATGTTTTGCAGCGCCTGCAGCGCGAGCTGCTGGTGCTGGGCTTGCTCTCTCTCCTGCTCATCGCATTCGAGGTGGGTGGTGCCGGCAGTTGTGAGGCTGCGCCTGCGACTCTCGCCTCCGGTCCTCGATGGAGTTGAGCATAAATACTCACTGGTTGCGGCCAATGCTCAACTGTGCTGTTCCTGCCCGCACCTGCAGGGGTATCTGTTGAAGATCTGCATACCGTGCGGCACCTCCTGCAGCTGGGACTGCCCTGCACAACAGGGCTCCGATGCAGGCAGCGGCAGCGATGGCGGCCATCGCCGCCAGCTGCTTGCCTCGGCAGCCCTGGATGAGCTATCCTGCAGGCAGGCAGCCGACACGTGTGGCCCTGGCAGCGAGCCCTTCTGGTCGCAGCTGGCCTTGATCCAGGCGCACGTATTCCTCTTCACCATTGCCGCCGTGCACATCTGCTACGCATGCGTCTCAATGCTGCTCTGCCTTTGGAAGGTGAGGTGGGCAGGAGGCACAAGACGCCAGTGGATTGAGGCTGTCTGCTGCGCTGGGCGCAGCACCAAACTTGCATACCCGTGCAATCCCTGCTTCGCAGCTGCGGCGGTGGCATCGCTTCGAGCAGCATGCGCTGCAGCACGAGCTGCGGCCAATGAGCTTGAGGTTGGTGCTGCCCGGTGGCTGCTGCTGCTTCTTTGCACGTGCTGGATGGGGCCACCCCCTAAATGTTTGCTTGGCTGTGAGCCAGTCCCTTGGACAAAGTGATAATGTGGGCTGCACACGCCGCGTTCCAGTTCCACGCACTGCCCATCCCCTGTGCCCGCAGGTCCTTGCCGCGCCCCGGGGACAATGCGCTCACGCATTTTCTGTGGTGCATAGCGTCCATGCTCACAGGTGCCGTCCTCAGGCTGTTCTTCCTCCAGGCACCCTGGGACAATCGTTCCCCTCAGCGTGCATGCGCCATGCCTTTCTCCTGTGTTGGTAGCAGGTGGTGTCAATGCAGAGGTGTACCTGGGCCTGCGGCGCCTGTTTGTGGAGCGGCTCGACGTGGACCCCTCTTTTGACTTCTGGAGGTGAGCCGGCTTTGGGGCAGCGGCCTCGGGTCTGCAGCCACGCCGGGTGACCCTACCTGCTGAGATGCATCCCTGTGCAGCTTTTTGGTGGAAAGTATGGAGGAGGAGTTTAGCCAAGTGGTTGGCGTCAACATCGTTCTCTGGCTGCTGCTGCTAGTCTGGATCATGCTCCCTGGAGCGGTGGGTGGGAGGAATGTGGCAGCGGCTGCTCCCTTGATGGCGTCTTGCAGGTCATCACGTCATTCTCTATCTCTCTGGTTGCAGTCGTACCAAATGATCTGGCTCTCCAGCCTTGCCGTTGCGGCGGTGTTCCTGGTGGGCATCAAGCTGCAGTCCATCATAATCTGCCTGGCCCAGGGCGCATACCAACTGTACGGCAGCCGCTCAGGTATGTTGGAGGCAAATGCAGGACAGAGTGGTTTCTGCCAGGCCATTCCTCTCTCCATTTGCCATCTGCAGTGCACCACCGCTCACCGAGTGTGCTGCAAAGCATGAAGCAGCGCTTGCAGCGCCTGTCTGCATTCTCGACCAGTAGCCAGCCGGATGGCCAGATTGGGGCTGCAAGAACCGGCGGCAGCGGGGCGACCGCGGATGATGGTTGTGATGACGCTGGCAGCTGTGCATGCGAGGACAGCAGCAGTGGAGGCCATGCATGGCAGCAGCAAGAGTGCAGGGCAGAGGTGCGCCAGGCAGAGTCCGTTGCAGCAGCTGAGGCCACAGCTGCTGCTCTGGATGCCAGCAACAGCCTGCCTTCACCACCTGACACGAGCGACGATGAAGACAAGACGGAGCAGGCAGTTGAAGTGGCGCAAGGGCTGATGGGGCGCGGCGCAACTCCACTGCATGCTGCAAATGTGGCAGCAATAGCAGCTAGGTCATCCCACCAGGAAGCTGTGGCCGAGGCAGCACATACCGTCGGCGTTGGGGCCTGGACTGTTGTCCCCGACGCCGCAGCAGATGAGTCTGCCCCCGCTCAGCAGGAGGCACAGAGGCCACAATTGGACGCCTGGCCGCAGGTTCCGCAGCGGGAGAGGCAGCAGCAGCTGGAGCGGCAGTGGGGGCAGCTGTCATTTGACTTGGAAGCGCAGGAGCGGCCGGGCCAGGCAGCCAGGGCAGCGACAGATGCCGCCAGCGGCCCGTTTCCCAGCAGCAGCGTGTTCCGCCGCTGCTGTCCATGGCTGCTGCCGTGGCTGCCATGGCATCGTGCCCAGCAGAAGAAGCGCATGTCCAAAGCGGTCCAGCGGAGCCAGTCGTTTTCTGAAAAGTAAGAATGATGATGTCTCCTGGCTTTGGTTTGCTCGACCAGTCCACCACAGCTTGTTGTTAATTTCTGCCGCTGCCGCTGCAGATACCGTGGGCCCGACGCAGCTTCGCTCTTTTGGTTTGGCAAACCGCGCCTCGTGCTAAGGACTATCCAGCTGGTGTACTTTGAGAACAGTTTGAGCATTGCAGCTGTATTGTTCAGCGTGTGGCAGGGGGTCGACTTTGACTGGTCCCGCTATGGAGGCTGGCCCTTCCTAGTCAGCATGATTGGTGCGTGGTGCCATGCTGCATGGTTGTGAACGCTGCCGCTGCGATGGGCTGCATTGCGTGTCATCTCAGTAGGTGGATGGAGGTAACTGCTCTGTATTCCTGACGCAGGAGTGGAGATGCTGCTGCTGCTGTTCCTCTCCTTGGCGGTGCTCCCGGTGTACGCCCTTTCGACCGCGGCAGGCAGCCACTCGGCAGTTTCAGGCAAGCTGCATGCTGCCGGCCTTTCAGGCCAATTTAAGCATCTTATATATTTTTTCGTTGATTGAAAAATTGAAAAAAAAACGAAGGGCATTGAGCCAACAGCTTGCTCCCGATTGTTTGCCTGCAGTGATTGAGCATGCGCTGAAGAAGAACATCAAGCCCGACATGGCTAGGCAAGTTGGCATGCTGTGCTCTGTGCCTTTTTGCCATTGGCGCCAACCAATGGTAGCCTTGCATCTCACTGCCATCCTGTTGCATTGCATTCCCCTCATGACGCTCTGCAGGGCCTTGCAGCGCATGTCTGCGGAGCCACGTTGGTCGCCCGAGCCCGGGGAGCACGTGCCTGACAGCACCGGCAATGCTGAGCAGCTAGCAGAAGCTGCAGATGCCGGTGTCTATGATGTCTCCACCAGGCCAGCAGGGGCCAGCAGCATGCAGCAGCTGGAGCAGGAGGGGGGCTCGGAGCTGTCCGGGCAGCAGCCAGACCGGGGCAGCAGCCAAGCGGGGGTGGGCCTTGCGGCTTTTGCGGCGGGTGGATCCGCGGCAGTGCTGGACATCTCCGATGCAGATGACGAGCGGCTATCTATCACGAGGCTCATGGGTAAGCGGAGAGGAAGGGATAGGGAAGGGGAGGGAGGCAGGCGCATCATGGTGGCTGACCACATTCTGATGTGGTTGTATGGCAGAACGCTGCCTTCTCTCTGCCAGGTGTCTCATGCAGCAGCTGCTGGTGGGATGCTCTGCAGGCGCGATGTACCAGAGGCAGCTGCAACACAGACTGGAGCGTGCCTCTGGTCGCAGTTTGCCTTCAGTCCGAAGCATGGCTGGCAGCACACACAGCTCGAGCGGACGTGACATCAGAGAGCGGCTAACCAGGAGCAGCTGGGCTGGGCCCCAGGCGGTCACCCCACTGGAGCCTTTGTCAGAGGATGGGGCTGATGGGTCCGCAACTGCCAGCGGTGCTGCGCACCTGTCAGCAGTGGAGACGTGCCCAGCCGCTGTAGGCGCGAGATGGCCTCAGCAGATGCAGCAGCACATGCGGGCGCGTAGCGCAGCCGCAGATGCCCCAGCAGCAGAAGGGCTAGTCGGGGGCTTGGCTGCAAATGCTGTGTCAGCAGACTCGAGATCCCGCCCCACTCTGCAGCACATTCGCGGCCTCTTTGTTTCCGCGGCAGCAACAGAAGCAGGTGCAGGCGGCTAGGGATTCTGCCTCAAGACATGATTGCCCAATACTGCAATGCCTTTCCTTGTGATGTGATGCATGCAGCCTAGCTGATTACAGCACTTTGCGTGCTATGTGCATATTCGAGCAAAAGTTGGCCAGAGAGGCGCTCATGCAGTGCTGCGCTCCGGGCGCTGTCCAGCCAGCGAGGCGCCTGGTGGCACGTAGCAGGCATCGGGGCGATTGCCAGCATGTGCCACGCAGACGTACCGCCACAGTTGCGCATTGTCCTGCCCCAGAGGGATGCCATTGACCACAACCCACGGCACATATCTGTGGGGCGGCGTCAGCGATGCCGTCTCCGCTTCCGCCTCGTGCTCCAGCTCCGCGCCCTGCTCGCCCTCGGCGCAGCCGTGCAGCGCCTGTGCATCCAGCCCTGTCTGCCCTGCGCACTTGTCCACCCAGGCCTCACTCTGCTCGTGTGGCGCCCCCTCCAGGCACTCCACAAATGGCAGCCACATGTCTTGTCCCGGGTGCAGGTGAGTGGCGCAGTTGATGATGCGGTTGAGGCGGCACTCGACGGGGCCGTGCTGGCACATCACCGTGCCATCCTGCGGCAGCGTGACGGAGGCATTTGTTGACCGAGGCTGCCGGGTACAAGATGCATGAATGCAGCGAGGCAGCCCCAGCTCTCAGCGGCACCAGCCTCGCCTCGCCACGGACTGCATTGCCGTAAGCCACATAACGGAATTGAAGGATGGGCCCAAAGCCCTTGTCCATCAGCGGGGAGAGGGTGGATGTGATGAAGTCGGCGCTGCAAACCAGGGCGATGGCAAGTGATGTGGTTAGAGAGCAGTTGGCGGCTGCAGCATCGCCACAGAACAGGTCAGAGACTTACCAGTACGGGCACAGCGCCTCGGCATACAGGGACACGTTGACTGGCGGGGCGCCATTGGTCGAGGGCGCGGCGTGAACTGCTGGCACCCAGCCGCCCACCGCTAGCGCCAGCAGCGTCAAGAGTGCCGCAGCGCTGCAGCGCCGTGCAGGCATCCCCATCGCCTGCTGTGGATGGGCCAGTGTGTGGCAGGATGCAGACAGCGCAGAGAGACTGGCCCCGTGGATCGCTGAAGGTGAGTGTGCACAGGTCCACAAGGTTTCGATGATTGATTTACCTGTGTAACTGGACGGTAGACAATCCAGAGGATCCTCTGAAGAGAGCTCAGCTTTCCGAGGCCGATGTCCACGTCAGAGCAGCCAAAATACAGCCATCGGCTTCGGCAGCCGTGACACTGACGTGCTTGCCAACCCCGGCGCCCGTCGCGCCGATTCGCCACCCCACCCCTGCGGCCACCTCCCAGCACCGCGCAGCGCCAGCCCCGCCACGGGTGCTGGCTGCAATCCGGGGCCTGTGACATCCACAAGTGCAATGCAGCTACACAGGTGCGGCCGTCACCAGTGCAACCCTCAGCCACTGCGCACTATTCCAGCCACCCCGCCAAACAAGCTGCCCGCCACGCCTGCTATGCTGCAGAGCCTCCCTTGCTGCTCCTGCGGGACTGCGGCCCTTCCAGGCAGCATCGCCCGCGGTGCGGTGGCGCCAGCAACGGCGGCACCTCCCCGAGCAGCAGCGGCAACTGTTGGCAGCAGCGGCGCAGAGCTCGCGGTGTCGACGCGGCGCCCTGCTTATCGCAGCCTCTGCAGCAGCCGGCGCCGGGGCGCTGGTGCGTGCCATGCCGCCTGCAGCCAGGCTCGTCATGCAGGTGGCGTCGCTTGGCGCCCTCGTGCCACCTGCATGGTGGTCAGCATGCATGGTCGTCAGCATTTTGAATGCGCCCATCGCCGCCGTGCCGCCGCTGCAGGAGCCGGAGCCGTCTGCGGCCCAGAAGATAGTTGCCTTCAAGGAGGCGTTTTGGAAGTTCCTGCGCCCCCACACTATCCGCGGCACCATCCTGGGCAGCACCGCGGTCACCGCCATCGCAGTGCTGGAAAACACGGCGGTGCGTTGTATTGGTGTGCCTGCAGCTGCAGCACGCTGCTGCTGGCCGCCGCCGGCATGCCTATGCAGTCGCACCACCCGACCCTGCCGCGGGTGCTTTCGCCGCCATGTCGCTCACGTGCCGCACCCTCTGCCCCTGCCCCCGCACCACTCTCCTCCCTGTTGCAGCTGATTGATTGGGCGCTGCTCCCGCGCGCGATGCTGGGCGTGCTGGCCCTGCTGTGCGGCAACGGATACATTGTGGGCATCAACCAGATTTACGACGTGGACATTGACGCCGTCAACAAGCCCTTCCTGCCCGTGGCCGCCGGCGAGCTGTCCCCCGGCACCGCCTGGCTGCTGTGCCTGGCGCTGGCGGCGGGTGCGTGCCCACCCTGCTTGCACTTACCCCTGGCGCTGCGCCAAGGTCGATGTGCGATGCTGCACCAGGGATCCTGCCCTTCACCTCACCCTGCATCTCACCCCCTGCCCACCCTCCCTGCTGCCTGCATTTGCTGCCCCCGTGATGCGCAGGCGGCGTGGCCATCACGGCCACCAACTTTGGCTCTCTCATCACCGCCCTCTACTCCTTTGGCCTATTCCTGGGCACCATCTACTCGGTGCCGCCGCTGCGCCTCAAGCGCTTTGCCGTGGCAGCCTTCATGATCATTGCTACAGGTGAGAAGAGGGCTGAGGTAGCCGGGAGAGACGGGCCGGAACACTGAGCGAGGCACGAGGACTGGGTTTCAGGAGCAAGGGGGGGGGGGG